TTTCTGGCCAGTTTAAGTCTTGTTTTCACAGAACCCAGTGTGAGCCTTTTTTTGCCTCTGTGAGCGTGTCCTGAGAATCTGCAAACAAAACTGGTAAAAGCAATCCTCCCGGCTCCTGATCCATGCCCTCAGGTCTGCTGTCCATGCTCCACCCCAGCTCCTGAAGAGGTTGGACAGCTGTTGGGGAGTCACAGGTGGATTTTAGGCCTCTCTGTAGGTTCAGCCTGAGATGCAGGAAGGTGGGGCTCAGCTTTGGTAACTGGACATGCCAACCACGAGGCCACCGATCCTGTTCACCCACCACCCCTCCCGGAAGAGAACCTTCTTTGCAGTCTCTCTTCCCCTTGTAAATGTGAGCAATCTCCCTCCTCCTGACCCACCAGAGATACTCCATTTCTCCCTCAAACCACAGGTGCCCAGAGGTTGTGCCACCTCTCCAAAAATCCAGGGCAGTGGGATGCCAGTTTTTAGCGTAATCTTTGTGTAGGTTTTAGCGTAATCCTCACATCGAGCTTTGTACTAAACCAGCCCTGTGGGAAGGCAGAGACCAGAGGAACAGGCAAGCCTGCCTCAGGAGCCCTGCAGCAGGGAGGAGAGTCAGGAGGGTCCCTGTCCTAACGCTGCCCCAGCACGGGTTTGATGTGGGCACAGCAAAGCGATGGTGGATTCGGCAGAACTGGCTGGAGATGGCGGTGAGCTGGGCTCGGGCTCTGGCACACCCATGGACGGTCTGTGGGATGGCCATCAACGATAAGATGGAGAAAGCTGATTTAGTTGCCAAGCGAGAGCTCCTGTTATCATGTAGCATCTGTCAACCACAGTAAATGGTGGAGAGAACTGGGTGTGGATGCAGGCAGGTGGGGAGCCGCCTCAGGAATGAAAAGGGATCAGGGAAAAGTCCAGGTATTAGAGTGAGGTGGACCACATATGGACCCTGCCAGAGTTGAATGCTTCCAGGTGGCTGTGCAGAAAAATTTTTGGGAAGCATGGAGTCACTCATTGGTTGGACTTTTCCTTTCAAAGCAGGGGGCACCAGCTGAAGATTCTGCCCAGCCTGCAAAGGTTTGAGCCGGTATCTCCCAGGGGCTCCTCCTGCCCCAGCCTCCACCCAGAGCTCACTCGTCTCACCATCAATGCCATCCCAGTGGTACTATAAAGGGAGCTTGTGTCTGAGGACTGAGGACTTGAGGACTGTGCAACCTCAGCTGGCAGGGTTGGGAGCTGGCAGGATTGAGGACCCAAATCCATGAAGCTGTTCAGAAGCCCAAGCCCAAGGCTGCTCTTACAAGCTGCTACTTATCCCAAAGGAGAACTTGTGGCTTATGTCAGCTCATCTCCACTTGCAGCCCCATTTCCTCCATCCCATTTCTGTCAGGTGCCTCATTCAGATTGCAACCAACAGGGGAAGACCTGGGGGGGTCATGGTGGGGATGTGGAGGGTGGGGGGTGGAGAAGGAGCCCCATCTCTGAGGGCAGTGGGCTGTTGAATTGTTTCAGCTTCCCCTGAAATGATCTGGCCTTGGTGCCTACTGGGGAAGACAACTGTGCTGCAATTGCAAATGGTACCCAAATACTGGGCGGTGGTGCCCCTGTCATGTGTGCCACCTCCACACTCTCAGGGATGAATAGCCATTCAGAAGAACGCAGGACAGCCAGACTCTGTAGCTCCAAGGACCACAGAAGGGCCTATAGAGCAGTGTGTCTGTCGCCTGCAAGCAGACAGCCCCAAGGAGGACAAGATGAAGGGGGCTGCAGCCTCCCCCCTGCTCCCAGTTGTGTCTCTCACGCTGCTTCATGGATGGGGCTGTGCCTGCCGTGTCTAAGGGTGGAGGCTGAGGGTGGACATCCTTCCCTGGAGACATGTAGCCAGGTCCCAGCTGCTCCCAATGCTCTGGCCAACAAAGAAGGGATGAGAAGCTGTCCTGAGGTAGAAAATGTGCAGACTTGGAGTGCTGTTGTGGCACACTGACTTGGTGAGTCCCTCAGCTCCCACCCTTATGTGCAGCTTGGGACCAAGGCCTGGGGGTCAGCCAGACCTGTGGGGACCTCCTGAACCCTCTGACAAAAGCAGGTGTGAGCAGGGTGAGGCATGGTGGCGAGAGCTGGGCACAGAAAACTCATCCCTAGACTGTTGCATGCAGTTTGGTGTGGAAGGCAGGGACTGTGTCCAGGTGAGTTCTGTGGCCCCCCAGCCAAGCCCCACCAGGGCGGAGGAGCCGCTCAGCAGCCGCCGCTCCGTCAGCTCCTGCAGTCTGCAGTGACCCCGCGTGGGCTGTGTGGAGGCGGCCCGGGCTCCCCGCCTCACCCCGCAGTGGCCCTTGTGCCGGAGAAGACAAACCCTGCGGGCACAGAGCCACCCTTCCCAGCTGCCACACTGGCCTTTGGGTGGCTGGTCAGGGAGGAGGGGGAGTCTCCTCAGGGGGTGACCCCAGCCCAACACAGAGCCCAGCCTCGCTGGCTGGAGCTGGTTTGGCTCCTTTTATAGTCAGTGCAAGAGGCGATTTGAGCGCGGTTCCTCTGGTGCAGTGGAGGCTGAAGGCTGGCCGGTTGCGTTGCCCTTGCCACGTGCCTGATTCTCTCTGCTGAGATGGGGGAGCCTGGCCAACAAGCCCAGCAGCCTTCCTTGAAGGGAAGGAGCCAGAGGACACCTCGCTGGAAGCTTCCTCCCTCTCTCTCAGGAATGTTGCCTCGTCGCAGACCCTCACCCTTGGGCCTCTGCCTGAGGCTCTGCCAGTCCCATGCCAATCCAGACCCTCACCCCAGTCCACAGACTGACTCCCCCCTGGACCTCAGACCTGCCCCATCGCTATGGGACTTGTGCGCCCATCTGGTCACTGTCACCGGACCTACTCTGCTCCCATTACCGCTGGCCTGCACCGTGGTGGGCCCCAGCTCACAGTCCTGGCACAGCATCCCCATAGCGAGCCAGGCGAGGTTCATGGCACTGCTCGTGCAGACAGGCTATGTAGGTGAGACCACAACTGCTTTCCAGAGAAGGCAGACAGACCCTTCCTGAGCCGCAAAGCTTTATTTGTCCACATTTATTGGTTTCCAGATTGGTCCAGTAGAGCTGAGCAGAAATCCCTGGTAGGGGGCTGGGATCTGTCTGAGACAGGACTGAGACAGGCAGAGGCAGCGTTGGTGTTCGTGGTGGCTGCCAGCACAGGAGGAGGGACATTCCCTGGGAAGGGCTGCCACTCCGTGGTCAGCCAGAACAGGCAGGTGTGGCTGACATCCCAGGGTTTCCCATAGTGTGCACCGTGGACGCTGGCGTTGGTTACTGAAGCTGGAGTCCTGGACAGTGCACAAGGAGAAACATTGCAAATTGGCATAGACACATCCTTGGAGTGCCAAAAGCTGTGTGCTCTTGGTGGCAACAGCAGAACAAAGGATTATTTCCCACATCTCAAGACCAGTGGGATCTAAAAAGACCCATTTCTGCAGAGGAAGAAGTGTTTTCTGACATGTGCCTTCTCATGGCACATATGCTAAGATTCCATGGGGTTTTTAAATGATGAAAACTCCTGAATGACATATAATGCTCTCAAAAAACCCAATGCACAAACACTTTGCTGATGTTCTGGTTAAAAAAAAACCCAACAAATACAATCTACTTCTCTCAAAACTCTGGAGTTATTTTTTTAGCTGATTTCTATTTTAATGCTTCCTGAATTTTTTTCTCTTTCTTCTACAAACCTGCAATGTTAAAACCCCATGTGAGATTTCAAGGTTAAAAAATAAATCCAAACTGATAACTACATTTTCTGCCACATTTTTTTTCCTCTTGTGGTATTTTTAGCAAGCCGCTCCGCTTCCACAAATTCCCAGCTCAGGCTCTGTCGGAGAAGTGTTAACACCAACGTTGCTGTACAGCAATGGAGACCACTGTGCTTTAAACCACCCTTTGTGCTCTCCGGATCCTGTGCTGCCCATGGCGCTGGGCTGAGGCTGATGTCACGGGAGCAGCGAGATTTGTGCAGTGACAGCAGTTCCTGTGGCGACTGGAGAGTCTGAAGACAGGCGAAGGAAGCCCTTGGAGCAGGGGCCATGCTGTGCCTGGCAGCACTGCAGCCCTGGCCCTGCCTCTGCAGCCACCTTGGCCACAGCAGCCGCTCCTTCCGTCGCAGAACCAGGCAGGGGGGCAACCATCACCCGCTTGTCTGTGGCCTCTGAGCAAAAAATGAGGGATCATCCCAGGAAAACCACCTGACCCAGAAGAATTTATCCACCCGCAGTGACAAGCACTGTGGTATTTGACATTAAAGAACTTCAGACTGCAAAATTTTTTGTTCTTCTGTGTCAGTCTGATTTTTGGCTTTAACCTAGCATAAAACTCAAAAAAAAAAACCCCAAAACCCAAACCGAAACCGGAATTGCTCCTGTAAAATTCTGTACCCAGAGAAGAACGTCCAGTTCTGCCGCCGTACCGAAGGGCAGCAGCTGGCTGAGGGGCGTTACCGACCCCTGGGGTCAGCACTGGCCGCGCCTCACCCGCGGGCCGTGGGCGGGCCTGCCCCCCGGGACAAGGGGCACCGACCCACGGGACCAGGCCCGGCAGCGGCTGCCGTGCGGGAGGAGTGCCCGCAGCCCCGCCAGCCGGCGCCATGGAGCGTCAGGCTGCTTCCATCTGCCTGATTTCACCCTCCTAGGGAACCCGGGCCCCCCGAAACGCCTGGCCCCGGCCCGCAGAGCGCTCTGGGGGACGCTGGGCACCGCACTGTGCCCGGCCTGGGCAGGACCCCCGCGCCCACCCCCCACGGCTGCCGCGGTGCCGCTGGGGCCCGGCAAGGGCACGGGGTCCTCCCTCTGAGTCGGCGGGGGCACAGGAGGTTGCCGTCCCGTCCCGCCGCGGACCGCGCTCCCCCAGCGCCCCGGCCCGGGAGGGGGTGTGGGGTGTGCGCTTCCTCAGCGCCCGGCCCCGCCCCGCGCCCGCAGGCGAGGCGAGCGCGCCCCTCGGGCTGCCAGAGGGCGGGGTCGGGCGGCCCCGCCCCTCCCATCAGGCCCCGCCCCGTCCCTGGCGGCGCCGCATCGAGGCGGCCATTTTGTGGCGCGGGGCGGTCGGCGGCGCTGGGCTCGGCGCGGAGCGGGGCCCGGGGCGGGTCGGCTCCGGTCTCACCCTTTTCCCGTGCGGATCCCTCGGTA